TAGCACGACTCACCATTGTTGGAGTGTCTGACACAGTCTTGGAGTACCATATACCACTTCTGCTGCTCCTTCTCTGTCGTCACACAGAAATAGTAGTGGCGGGCATAAGGGTGCCACATTATCAGAGGGTGCGGAGTGGCACACTTTAGAAAGGGGGAACTTCCCACTTTGGCTTTAACACCTAAAAATAAAATCGTTGCATTAATAACACACTGAAAAGCTGTCTCGAAGTTTCTCTGTAGAGTTAAACTGTAACAAAATCAGCCTTTTACAGCTAAAAAATGTTTATATAGTATTTAGACAACAGCAGCTCTCAGCTAACAGTTAAGAGAAATGTTGGTCTGCTTCACCACAGAGAGCTCAGCACCTTCAGCAACAACATTCAACCAGTGAGGCTGAAGTCCTGGAAGCTGTTGTGACAAATGAACACTTTGGATGCTCACTGTCCGCCCCAGCTTCACCCGCTGTGGTCTTCTACTGAATAACAGGGGTCAGGATAGGGCAGAGAGGCAGGGTACAGCCTGGACAGGCTCTCACAGTCACACGTTTACAGTGACCAGTTAAGCTAACTGGTCACTGTTAATGAAACCAATTTGAGTGACTGATTTTATGTTCATTATGTATTTCTATGCTTGAGGGAAGCTTCAGGTGCCATTATGTGAGAGTGTAACCCCAATACAACCCACTAGAGGGTGCTATAACTCTAATTAAGGGAATTTTCCCCTTCTTTTTACCCCTCTTTTTTTTCTACAATTTTTACTTGTATAGGCCCTTTTATGGCCATCCCATTATAAACTCCTGGCCCTGAAGCCTTCCCTAACCTTAACCTCTTTTAACCCCATGCAGGGATTTCACTCCGGCTCTAAACCTAACCGCCTAGAGCCCTATTTGGACATTGGGCCCCAACTTCAACCCCCATCTTCTTCCGGCCCTAAACCTAACCTCTGGGTTCCCTAAGCCCACTTTCAAACCCCTTTATTTGGGCTGAGAGAGGACACTTCCCTCCTGGAGAGCAATCCGTGAGTGACGTGGGGCCCGGGATGGGAACAGGTATGGACTGTGCATGGAGGTTGGCCACCTCCCAACTTGAGCTCCCACTGACTGCACGTCTTAAGTTGCCACAATAAATCATTGCATTTGATGAACTGAGTTTCCCCTTCCTACTGTAATAAAACAGTTATTACTAATTTACCAACCATAAAGTGCACCCTCCTTATCGAGACCTTACCTACCCGCTCCTCACCTGGCAAGCTGTTGCTGATCAGATTCAGGTATTGCTCCATAGATGTCAGGACTTTATAGCCGGCACAGCTGATAGTTCCTTTGGGATGGAGGAGTCTGTCGTGGGCCTGCGGTGAAGCCAAAGAAGAACAGAGTTGATGTCTTAGACGGTGAGTAAAACTTGCTCGTGTACAGAGAACACTGCAGCCGTCTCACCGCCTTGCTGTCGTAGTATTTGATGTCATGGGAGTCTGGGATGAAAAGGAAGTGGTTCCTCCATTTCTTGTTTTCCTCCAAGTACTGGAAGAGGGAGCCTGAGAAAATGGCCTTGTTCTCCAGAGGAATCTGTGACACATTTCACAACCGAACAGAAACTTTGAGTCATTAAAGTCTCGCTCTGTCCATTCAGAGCCGAGAGGACTCACTGTGGTCATCATCCAAACGATTAACAAAGACTTTGGAGCACAGCTCACTGTGAGCAGCATCGGTGTGACACTCACAACAATGAGACACGTGACACATCCTTACTGCAGCGGTTACTCGCTGGTGTTTGGAATAAAAGCTTTCAGAGAGGGTTTTGTACCTTGCGGTGAAGCAGCTGAGGTTGCGGAGTTCCTCCTCCCTCTACGTCAAAGCGAACTTTGTTGAACAGAGCTACTGCGTGCTGCTGCTCGTACAAACGCCCAAACTCAGCGATCACCTTTCCGGTCCGAGCTGCAAACACAAACACACGATCAGAGATGGGCAGTAACGCGT